TGACAACAGCGGCTGCACATTTGACTTTGTGTACAAACCCACATGTCCCGAGCGTCGATACGAAAAAGAACAATGTGTAGACTCGTGAAGATGAACTGCAAGTGCTATTCCGTAACGTTCTAACACCGGTCTATTTCTATATATATATACGTGCGAAGAAAATAATAAATCCGTTAACAGACTGATAGGGCAAGTACTGTTGGCGAGTACCTTGCCTGACAGCTTCGTGCTGCGTACGTGCCGTGTGCAGCTCCCACCGAGAGGGGCCGTCCATAAATGACGTCACGCACCTAGGGGGGGGGGTCAGACATTTGTGAAGATGTGTGACGAAGGGAGGGGGGGTTGAGAAATGTGACGTCACATCAAAATGCGCAACTTTAAATACATATAGACAACACCTTCTACTTTTTAATAAATGTTTTCTCCTACAACATCAGAGTGCAGCGCCACATTAAATACGCACTACAATGACAATAGTTTAAAGCGATTTGAAGCTTGTTTTATTTTCAAAATAGAAATATGTTTGGGGGAGGGGGCAGAGCTTTGTGACGTCATATTTGAGGGAATGTCTGACTTTTTGTGACGCCGTGTGACGAGGGCGAGGGGGGGGGTCAGAAATCGTCCAAAATCGCGTGACGTCATTTATGGACGGCCCCAACCGCACGAAAACACACAACAAAGACACAGATCCCCCGTATAGCCTTCAACAGACACGAGGGTGTGGGTGACCAGCACCACGCCCGGCCGCCTTTGTCTCCCCATAGTGGGGATGTATGCACACCGCACCAGATACTGTACTAATTTGAGGCTGAGTCGACCTAGGGGAGGCCCAGGACCGGTTCAGATAATCGCCACTGGTGTTGGCCGTGAGCGAGAATCGAACCCGGGTCCGCTGTGTTCGCGGCGTGGCGAGATAACCACTACCCTCTTGCTCCCTATCGCTCCCCAGCTCTACGTACACACACACACACACGCGTGTGTGTATATGTACATACACACGTCTCTATATATATTTAATGAGACCCACAGAGACACAGAGACCGGCGTGCTCGTGTTCTCTACATGGCACACCGAATCCCGGCGGAGGCGCGCGTCACCCGTTAGAAGCGCAGAGCCCCGTACAGATGAGCACTGAACGACCTTGCCAGCCTCTACTGAGGAAGTGTCCATGGTTCATGGTCACCAGAGTCAGGCAAGACGCTCCCACGGACCGCTGACAGTGGCCGGTTCAGCCTCAGGGGGGAGGTGGGGGTGGTCACGGGCTCGCAAGAGGGCACGTGTCACATGCGTCCTGAAAGCCCATTAACCACGGCCGACTCCCTTCAATACGGTCCTCCTACACTATGAGACCTCCTTTACCAGTGGCAAAATATAATAATGGGTTTTTACCCTTTCAATTGGTACAAAAAACTGGAGACTAGGCTCTAAGAAAAGCTGTCTCGGGTGTGGACCAATCAACTTCAAGGACAGTGCATATCATTATCATCATCAGAGTTGTTTCTTTTTGTTTGCATTTTGACTGCTTGTGTTGTGGTTATTGCCTTGTATAAAGGTGTCAGTTTTTTGTACCAGTTGAAAGGGTAAAAACCTACTACTACGGTCCCCCTAATCCACCACCACTGTCAGTGTGTCCATACTCCCAAGTCTGAAGCGTGGCCCTTGATTTAAATGGGGGGGGGGGGGCATTCAAAAACTCAGGGGGGGGGGGGCAAAACACAGTTAATGGCACACATTGAACGAACGTTAAACGCTAAACAGAATCAGAGGATCTGAATATGTATTGACACTGGAGGATTGCGATGAACTATAACGCTTTTTTTCACAGATGTCCAGTTTGGGCACGGGGTGAGAACGCCACGACAACAGACAGTACACAAACACACGATAGGAGTGCACAGTATATGAAACGTAAACAAATCACTTAAGAGACGTATACAAATAAAACTAAACTACATATTTTTTCTATCTTACTAGGTAAGACCCACTGAACATTCAAACAGAAAGAGTAACGCTACGATCCACTTCCATCCATGGCGTATTCCGCTGTGGCTATCATCACCCCCTCTGTGTAGGCATCACCGCCACCGCTCTGAAATGATCTGCGAATATTGTCACCAAAATTCGAACTCAGCCCTCTCCAGACACCACACATAACGCTTCGGGTAAGCCTCCTACTTACCATTCCCCCCACACCCCCCCAATCTTATGCCAATCGTTCTATCGGCGTCACGTGACCAGGAATCCATAAAGAACTCTCGCAGGGCAGTTGCAGCCCTTTGTGTTGGGGAACGGCCCCGCGCAAGCGGATGTTACAGAGCTATTTCTGGAATTCCTTCAAGTGACCTCACGGTTCACAAAATTAGGTGGGGCATCTTATTTTCCCACTCGCTCTGCCAGCCACAAAGAGTGATGACTGTGTAATATAAAACAATGTACACGCATTAAGTGCGTAACCCAATGTAACGTGGTTTGTTTGTGTACAGTTATTAGTGACCGGTGTGAAATAATGAAATTGCTACACGAGAGAACGTGTATATTCATCGCAAGCGGCTGCCTAGATTCGAACCGAGGTGATTAGCCGTGACCTCGATTGAGACACATCTTTGGTCTATTTTATTACACGCTTTCTATTAACTCACTCTGTCTGTTGTTGGTGTTGTCGTTGTTGTCGTATCCTCAAATTTGTAACTCAATTTTAACCCACTTCCCAATGTGATATCGACTGCAAACGTGGTATACTTATGTCATACTGATGACAATACGGTACTATATTCTAGCATATATATTTTTGAAACAATATTTTTTATATGATATGTTTCGGCTTGGGTCTAATTGTCCACGCTCAACTGACGTTGGCTGTAAATCACCACGGCCCCTCCTTACGTGATTGCAAGCTTTGGGGCCACTTCCTGGAGTCGTGGAGTTCTTCCATTACTAGTAGGGTACATTTCATTAAAGCGTGTTTTTTTCAGTTTTTTTTTAATGTTACTTTTTTTTCAAAATGGCGTTTCCGTAACGACTGATATTTCATTGTAAAGATATTTTATTTTATTTTGTTAGATTGGCCACTCGTTATTTCTCGACCACGTATCACGCCCCGTGCTCTCGCTTACTTGTCCTCACTTGACTTGAGTGGCAATGCGATGTCTCCAACTTGTGCTCGCGTTGTCTCTTGGTGTCAATCCAAGAAACGCTTCTTCACGCGTTTGGGGCCGTCCATAAATGACGTCACGCGATTTTTGACGATTTTTGACCCCCCCCCCCTCCTCGTCTCACGGCGTCACAAAAAGTCAGACCCCCCCTCAAATATGACGTCACAAAGCTCTGCCCCCCCCCCTAAAAATAAAACATGCTTCAAATCGCTTTAAACTATTGTCATTGTAGTGCGTATTTAGTGTGGCGCTGCACTCTGATGTTGTAGGAGAAAACATTTATTAAACAGTCTATTTAATTAAGTAGAACGTGTTGTCTATATTTATTTAAAGTTGCGCATTTTGATGTGACGTCACATATCTCACCCCCCCCCCCCAGATGCGTGACGTCATTTATGGACGGCTTATCTGGGATCGCGCGAGACTGTGGAGTTCTGCTGAGGTTCCTCCGTAAAAGTGTTCTAAGGTGGGCTGCAAGAGGTTCTTAGATGCCCTGTGAAAATATACTACGCAAATGTATTCTATCGCATTTAACATACATTGTATACTAGTACATTTAACGTATGTTATATATTTATTAACGGAGCGGTGGCGCAGTGGTTAGCACACTTGCGCAATGAACCCGGCCTCCTGAGTTCAAGTCATGGTACCGGCTACCATCAGACGGCCACCTTTACCGACGCTCTTGTAACAAATGATTTTGATGTGGCGATGGTGCTGCTGCGTTGGCAATGGCGCACAAGCACAATTAACAACAAACCACAACATATTCGCCAATAACAGCGGTCAGAAGAGAAAACACATGCATTACTTGGGCGACGTTTTGGCAAAATGGCACTACTTCATATCCTCTAAATCAGGGGTGGGAAACGTCCGGCCAGCGAGCCGTATGAGGCCCGCGAAATCATTTGGTGTGGCCCTGCCAAGGCAACCGCAGGCGGGATTCGAAATTCAATAAATCTAGGAGCAAACCTGGAAAAGCAGTTGCGAGTAGCAACAACATCGATACCAGCTAACATCACACGCCTCGCCAAAGAGAAGCAGTTCCAGCCATCGCATTAGGGGTGAGTTAATTAAATATTTGACCAAATATAACGGACACATTTTTTAGTTGATAATGTTGTATGGCCCGCGAATGATGTTATACATATCCAAATGGCCCTCGGCAGCAAAAAGTGTCCCCACCCCAGCTCTAAATATAGAGACCAGGGAGATGAGTGATGGAGACTGCACCACGCCCATTCGCCTTTGTCTCCCGTGTCACGCCAGGTACACATTTTAGGCTGAGTCGACCTAAGGGAGGCCCCGGTTCAGATAATCGTCACCACCACGACCGCCATTATCTAAAACTAGAACCTAAACTATGTTTATTATACCAGGCATAGCCCACTGAGCTGTATAGCTGTGACCTAGCCACAGACGATAGCTCAACGAAGTCGCTTACCACGTGGAAATGTTTATCAGCCAAATACTCTCAGCGCGTGTTTCTAAACGTGGAGGGGAAAAAAAACGGAGGACCCGGAGAAAAATCCACGCGATCAAGAGGACAATCATGCAAACTCCAAATATACAGCAGGCGTCTTGGCTGAACCTACACGCCACCGCTAACATCAGCACCACGCATCACGTGGTCAGCTCGCTCCTGCCTCTGCTAACAACAGGCGGCGTGTGGCTGTGAATGGTGTAGGAGTGGGGAGGGCGCTCTGTGACTACCCGATAGCCGCCGTGCTGGTGGTGGTGGTTGATGGTGGGAGAGAACGGAGAGAGAGAGAGAGGAGAGGGGGGGGAGAGAGGGGAAGAGAGAGAGAGGGGGGGAAACGCAGGGAAGACCGCTTGCAGTCAGCCCGCACCCACTAAACGAGCAAACAGCAGCAGCAGCACCACCGAAGCTGTCCATCCGCCTGCTGCAACAACGGCAGTCTGAGATCTTCCCGTTGGACGCTGCTGCTGCTGCTGCTTCTTCACCGGGCGCCTCTCGTCTGTCAAGGTGCCTCATTGAGTGACCCGGTGAGATGCGTGCACGCTGTTTGCGTGGGGAGCGGTCGTGTAGCAGTTAGCGCGCTGCGCTGCGAACCTGGAGGCCCGGGTTCGATTCCCGGTCACGGTCAGCACCCAGTGACGATTATCTTAACCGGTCCTGGGCCTTCCCCTAGGTCGACTCAGCCTCAAATGAGTATCCGGTGCGGTGTGTATACATGTCCACTAGGGAGACAAAGGCGGCCGGGCATGGTGCTGGCCACCCACTCCCTCGTGTACCGTGCCGGCCTTCATAGGTGCTTTGCTAACAGCACTTGCCCCTACAGTCTGTTTAAGCTATATGGGGGGTATTTGTCGTTGTTGTAAGTGATGCGTGTGCACACACACACGGCTGTGCATATAACACGTGAACACACACACACAGACGTGCACACACATACGCGTGCACACACATACGCGTACACGCACACGCGTGAACACGCACACACGTGAACAGACACACACGCGTGTACACACAGACACGTACACACACATGTGCACATACACGCGTGTACGCACACACAGACGTGCACACACACACACGTGCACACACGCGTGAACACACACACAGACGTGCACATACACGTGTACACACGCGTGAACACACAGACGTGTTCACACACGCGTACACACACACACACGCGCATGTACACCCACGCGTCAACACACAGACGCGTACACACACACACGCATGTACACACACACACACGCATGTACACACACACACAGACGTGCACACAACCCGACATCTGATCACACACGCGTGTGCACATTGCATGCGCACAAAGACAAAGGTCGCCCATAGCGTAGCCTCCACGGGCTGTTTGGGGCAAGGGCTGTTAGCGAGGCGTTCACGCCACACCACACGGTGTGGTCGGGCGCGGCGGTTGTGGCCGACAAAACCCCACACCCGGCCGCCTTTGTCTCCCCGGTGATGCTCAATCTTCACGCGGTTCACGCACACACACACACACAGGGAATATAGCCGACTGTGTACGCCATACAGTGCGTCTGTGATGCCTGCATGTCGCACTGATGGGGTAGCGGTCGCGTGGGGGGTCGAGCGCCTTGTCCCTACGGACCCCGGCCACCCGAGTTCGACTCCCCGCTCGGCCAGCGACAAACCGGTCCTGGGCGTTGCCCTAGGTCGACTCAGCCTCAAATGAGTGCAGTAAATACCGCCGCTGGGGAGACAAAGTCGGTCGGGCGTGGTTGCTGGACCCGGCACCTTCTTAGGTGCTACTCGCTAGCATCATCATCTTCACAGTGGCTATGAGATGTTAACTACCTCGCCTGGTATACAGGAGGTCGTGGGTCCGACCCTGACGCCTGCTGTATATTTGAAGTTAGCGTGTCTCATCACCATCACGGTGGCGAGATGTTAACTACCTCGCCTGGTATACAGGAGGTTCGACCCTGACGTCTGCTGTATATTTGGAGTTTGCGTGTCGCTCTCATCATCATCATCACAGTGGCGAGATGTTAACTACCTCGCCTGGTATACAGGGGGTCATGGGTTCGATCCCAAGTTTGCGTATTTACTCTTTCTCCCCGTGATTGCGTGAATTTTTCTCCGGTTTTAACCTCCCATTTTGGAATCGCCATCAGGTCAGGCCCACTGAGCTAAATAACTATTTTTTAGAAGCGACCTGGCCACAAATGATGGCTTATCACGTGGAAATGTATAGCAGCTAAATACTCCAAACGCACGCTTCCAAATGTGGATGGGGAAAAAACCCGAGGACCCTGAGAAAAATCCACACAAACCGCGGGGGAGAGACACTGCGAACTCCCAAACACACAGGCATCAGGGTCGGAATCGAACCCACGGCCGTGTTGACTACCTCGCCTGCATACCAGGCGAGGTAGTTAACATCTCCGCCACTGTGATGATAATGAGAGAGAGAGAGACACGCAAACTCCAAATAAACAGCAGGCGTCAGGGTCGAACCCACGACCTCCTGTATACCAGGCGAGGTAGTTAGCATCTCGCCACCCATGGCACCACTACTGCCAGTTCCAGCACCGCCCGGGTCAAACCCGGACAGTTGGCAACTCTAGCAGCGCAAACCTGTCCCGCCGAACACCGATTAATAATGCAGGTTGTAGTGAAGTCATTGAAGCGGATGTACTGTACATGTTGTCCTGGCAAGCACGTCGATGGACATACCGTGTTCGGAATATAATGGGAGGTTTTTTGGGGGGGAAGGGACCCCCAAAAATGTAAACTTAAAATAACGCACCGTACGCAAATTACATACAGCGTACAATAGAGCAATGTTCAACTGATTACTGCCTGTGGTGATGCTACGTTGGCAGTGGTGCACAAGGACAAATAACAACAACGAAAGACGCAACGCCCTTACCCATAGGCAACGTTTCGGGAAATTGTCCTATTCCATTGCACAATGCCATGCACCGACACGTCACGTGCCAGGCCATCCCAGTTCTGCATCGCGTGGGATCAGATGCCTCATTCGGTATCTTCCCGAACGCTCCTAGGCTGGTTCGTAGCCAGGATCATTGGCGTAAGGCACTAACTTCCACTAAGACTACAAGGTAAAGCCCCCCCGTAATAATTTTCTACACTATTAATAAACATAAGTTGCATTATAAATAACATCATTGGTGCAAATTGCATCTCACAACACTGTACAATAATTATATCCATAATCACATGAAGGGCTGAATCCTATTTATAACAAGACACAATTGTAAGCTGTCCCTATCATCCTATGAGAGCGAGGGTTGTTCAAACAACGAGTTGCAGTTATCGTGAGGACAAAGCGAGACGAGACGGATGTTTGGCAGTGTGTTGCGATCGAAACGTCGTAGTGTATTTTGTTTATTGTATTACTACTATTTGAACCTATCTGCGTGACTTTAACACGACATAGTCCATCGACGGTCACGTGCTTATGCAATTGAACTCCCAGGATGCACACCTGCAACCTCGCGGCCCCGTGTCACCTGAGATCAGGAGACGAGTAACAATTCAGAGCGCCACGTTTGCTAACCTTCTTTACCCTGAGTTACACACAGCTTGCAGAGCGCAAATCCACCTCACGATTAATGTACATCCACAGCCCCCACCCCGCCCCCCCCCCCCCGACTTTTTTTCTCAATCCACTGCTGGATGAGGGCCTGCCCAGGCCACTGCAGGTCTTGAGAGCATTACGTGACCTTCCTTCGCCATGCTATCTGATGAAGGCAGAGGGCACGGACACACAAGTATGTGTGTATGTTGAACTTCTTTCGCGCCGTACGTCGCCAAACCGTGTTAGTGCTATTGTACTGGACAACAGTGGATGCGCTGCACTGCCCTATGCTGACAATGTTGCCCAGCGCAGCCTATAACACCTGTTATGCACGGTGGTCGCCCATCCGAAAAACCATCGAGGTGCAAACCTACTTAGCTTCTGCAATGTGACCAGATTAGGCACAGTGGGTGATGTGGTCATAGGCCCCGATTAATAGTTCCAGTTAATTATTAATATCGTCAAAAGTAATGTAATAATGTCCCGTATTTATAATAATATGAGAACAATATCCTTTGTTTACTCACGAAAGCCTCACTAAGTCTCACTACTCTTTTGCAGGAGGGTCCTGCGGTGCATTGGTATGTCTGGTGAATTCCATTTTAATTTGTATTTTTGTACTGTACATGCAAGGAAACTGGAGTTACCAGGATTAAACCCCCATGCGAACGGGGAGGGTTAAACGAAAAGCTCCGCACGGATGGATTAAAGGATCTGTTGCTATACTACCAGCTGCTCGCAACCTCGCACCGCGAACTTACACAACACCCAGTATTCCCCAGGAGTCAATATCCCATCCAAGCACACCTTCACTTCCTGAGACATGCCCGGTGTCACACAGGCGGGCGACCGCAAGTTGCCGCCGCCGTCATCGTAGCAACCGAGTTGAGCGAGGCCTTAGTCCAGGGGTGGGGAACGTCCGGCCCGCGGGCCGTATGAGGCTCGCAAAATAATTTGGTCCGGCCCTGCCAAGGCAACCGCAGGCGGGACTCGAAATTCAATAAATCTAGGAGAAAACCTGGAAAAGCAGTTGCGAGTAGCAGCAACATCATCAATACCAGCTAACATCATCACACGCCTCGCCAAAGGGAGAAGCAGTTCCAGCCATCGCATTAGGGGCGAGTTAATTCAATGTTTGACCAAATATAACGGGCGAATTTTTAAGTTGATAATTTAGTATGGCCCGCGAATGATGTTGTAAATATCCGCCCCTGCCTTCGTCCAACGCTTGCAGACGTGCGTGCTGATTTGATTGACAGGCGGTTGGGATCATTGACTTCCCGCACGGGGCTTTCAGTGGCGTGAACCGTCGAGTGGCCAGGCGGTGCTACGAAGAGAGAGAGGTGGGGGGGGGTACCCCATTTCGTTCCATGCCACCAGGGCCCATGCCGACCTCGCGAGGCCACCACACGCGGGGGCGGGGGGGAATGAAGGCCACGTGGGTCATCAGACAATTAATGCACCGATGCTTCATTCGTGACAGATGGATCGTAAACACGCTAAGGTTGGCCAGGTCAATAGCTCCGAGGCCCCAGAGCCTGAGCAGCGTTTCAGTGTGGAGCCTGGAGCTAGGGTCATTGGAAAACTCCGGAGCCTGGAGCTGGGGTCACTGGGAAACTCTGGAGCCTGGAGCTGGGGTCACTGGGATACTCCGGAGCCTGGAGTTGGGGTCATTGGAAAACTCCGGAGCCTGGAGCTGGGGTCATTGGAAAACTCCGGAGCTTGGAGCTGAGGTCACTGGGATACTCCGGAGCCTGGAGCTGGGGTCACTGGGAAACTCCGGAGCCTGGAGCTGGGGTCATTGGTAAACTCCGGAGCCTGGAGCTGGGGTCACTGGGATACTCCGGAGCCTGGAGCTGGGGTCACTGGGATACTCCGGAGCCTGGAGCTGGGGTCATTGGAAAACTCCGGAGCCTGGAGCTGGGGTCACTGAGACACTCCGGAGCCTGGAGC